GTGTCTGTCATACTAAGATCATCCCAACTGAGTTCTGAAAGGCTCATTACCAGGGGATTGGCCTCCAGTGCATAAAAATATTTTGGTCACAGTAACTTATGAATGTGTCATCAAAGAAGTGGAGGAGTTGCTATCTGCATTGGTGGAAACAGTACCCATGTGGAAAAGAATTAAAGTTCCCTAGGGGCAGGGATATTTTCATTGTCTATATTCTCCATGCTTTTCACAGCACTAGCACTTAACAAATGCCAGTCTACTGACATAGCCAGGAAGGAAGGATATTCAAGGAGATACCAACATGCAAACTGAAGTCATAAAGTAAAAACATGAAGAAGTTGTCATAGACAGGAAGACAATGATTCAGCTACTTAGCTTTTGGAGAAAGGAGAGAACGGCCCGGGAATTATTGATATATTGCTTTCATATTAGTCATTTGAGAATTGTCTGGTGAAGTGCTGAGTTGAACTCAGGTTAGTTTGGGTCCTTGGTGTTTCCTTAGCACTACTGAGGGAGGTTCAGATAGCCTATTTTCTGGAGAATTGACAGAGGGAATTGAAGAACTGGGGTATTTCTAACAAGGAGGAAAATAACCGCAGACTAGTCTGTGGCCTCTTGCCTGTGATAATGGCATCTTGGCACAAATACTTCATGCAGCAGCTGAAGAAAAGAGAAGTGCTCTAAATGGGGGGTCATAGAGACAATAAGTATCACTGGTAAACCTAGCCATTTGAGCTGAATTCTAGAGGCTGGTCCAGCCAAATTCTTTGGGTTGTAATATGCTATCAGGCCGGATCAGAGAAATTGGCATTGGGAGTGTGAAGGTACAGATAAGCATTCCAGAGGACTCATGATGAAACATGCTACCCACCTCAGATAGAGAGGCATTTTTTAAAAAAAATTTTTGACATGGCCAATGTAGGAATTTGTTTTGCTTGACTATATATGTTTATAATGGGTTTTGTTTTTCTTGCTTTCTGGGAGGGGGGCAGAAGGAAGTGTAGGTAGATGGGAGAGAGCTCAGAGCTGAAAAAAATTAAAATTAAATTAAAAAAATAACGGAGAAAGGTCGTTAGAGGAAGACTCAATACAAGGCTGTCTTAAACCTAAGGAGCCCAGGAAAATCCAATCAATATTTATATTCTACCCCAAGTCTTCATGTTGTTCAAGAGCCTTTTGAGACTGGTTTACTCCAGAATCTATGCAGTCACCCTAGATTAGCTGAATAATAATCTGAATCCTTGGCAAGAAGTTTCCAGAACTGACCCAGGTTTCCTTAGATCTTTGGGAATAGGAACAATCCAGAATCCCTTTGGACCTTCCAATGCTGATAGCAACTCAGGCAGTGGCCCAAGGAACTCTTGTGTCAGAGTGGAACTGATACAGACCTCAAAGTTCTGACAGGATACAGTCTGCCTTCTGGAATACAAGCAACAGTTACTGTATCAGCTCACTGCATCGTAGTCATCTTCATCAAGCTAGCATTGTATAGACCTTTAGGGTTTGCAAAGCACTTTACAATATGTTATCTCATTTGATCTTCACAACAACCCCATGAGGTAGGTGCTATTTTTAACCCCATTTGACCCAGTGGAAGCCAAGGCTGAGAAAATCTCTGTAACTTTACATTAGTCACAAAACTAGTGAAGTATCTAAAACAGTATTCATACTCAGTCTTTGAAACTTTGAAGACCTACAGTCTGAGCCACCTAGTTACCCAGAAGCATTTACCTTCATGTTGGTTGCTGTGTTCATAGGAGTTTGTTTCTTGTCCTGAGTATGCTATTTGTTGGGGGGGGTTGCATCTGTCTGTCTGTCTGTCCTGGCACACATTCTTCATGCAGGAGCTTAAAAAAAAAAGGAGAGACAATGCTGTATATGGGGAGCCAGAGACAATAAATATCACTGGTAAACCCATCCATTTGAGCTGAATTCTAGAGGCTGGTCCAGCCAGATTCTTTGGGTTGTAATATGCCAACAGGCTGGATCAGAGATATTGGCACTGGGAGCATGAAGGTAGAGATGGTCTATGGAGCTGTGTTTGTTATAAGATTCTCTAGTTAGCTTGATGAGTTTGTAGGGGGTTGACCTTTGTTTGAGACTGGCTGTCTCTTCCTGTTGAGGGTGGGGACACATGCCTTGTCAGTCTCTTGAGAGGAATTGAGGGACATCAGGGTCATGTCATTTAACTCTTCACTTGAGGGTTAAGATCTCCTTAAATCTCATAAGCTGGGGATGAACTCATTGAGTTGCACTGTGTGGATCGTTGTTCAGTTCTTTCAGTTATGTCCAACTCTTTGTGACCCTATTTGGGTTTTCTTGGCAGAGATGCTGGAGTGGTTTGCCATTTCCTTCTCCAGTTCATTTGACAGATAAGGAAACTGAGGCAAAAAGGGTTAAATGACTTGCCCAGGGTCACACAGCTAATAAGTATCTGAGGCTACATTTGAACTCGGGTTATCCTAATTCCAGGCCTGGAGCTCTGTCCACTGTACCACCTAGTTTTCCCTATGTAGATCAGTTAGGGATTAATTGGCTAGCTTAGCTATGGTTCCTTTGTGCTGGGCCTAAAGGCCTATTTTTAAGAAAAGGGCGAGATGTGGCAACTTTTCAGAGAGATTCTGAGAATACTGACTGCCAACTAGAGAGGAGAGCTAAGAAGTGACTTTAGAAAGGGTAGGTATGGGGAGCTGTGCATGTATACCACCTCCTTGTCCTTCACCTCTGAATAGCTCTATATTTCATATATTTATCCACAATAATCTATAGTGAATTACTCTTGATTGTTCTTACTCAAAATAATCTAGGACTAACAAGTAATCCTCTTCCTTGTAATGAAAAATGCTTCTTTAAACAACTTCTGCACATAAGTAATCTATCATTCAGCTCTTCCTAAAGGGGAAATGTGGTTAGTTATTACGAGAATCAAAAGAAATTCCACATTAATACCATTTATGCTGCTTTATTTTCTTAATCCTGCTTATCAAAACAAAACTATAGCACATACCATCACTGTGAGATTATTTCCCATTTATGGTATTTGAGGCAAGCTGCAGGAACTGGGACTTGAAGGAGAAAAGGAAAGACCATCTACTCATCTGAAAAGTAAGCTTTCTTTGCCCCAGGATCCATGTTTCTAACCTCATTTTCTCAGTTTAGTTACAACTGTAAGTTCACAGAACTAGATCTGGAAGGGACTTAAAGATCACCTAGTTCCAGTTCTTCATTTTATAGAAAAAGAAACTGAGGCACAGGAAAGCTAAGAGACTTGCCTAAGCTCTTGCAAATAGTAAACATCAGAGACAGTTTTTGAGCCTAAGTCCTCTGACTCAAGAACTGTGTCCTTTCCATTGCATCACACTGCCTCCTTAAGTGAGAAGTCACTATAGCTCACCCAGATGTGTACATTTTATGCAAGGGATTTGCTTAGAATATAGGCTGCTTGAGGACAATCAGTCAATCAACAAGCCTTTATACAGCACCTACCATGGGCCAGGGACTGTGCTAAGTGCTGGGCATACGAAGACAAAAATGTCATGCCACTGCTTTATTGGAACATGGCTTCATTTTTGTATCTGTATCTCCAGCAGTCACACACTGTGCAGGCACTGCCAAAAGGCTTCTTGAATCAAAATGAATTGAATTTGGTTGGAGAGGCAGATTCAGACAAGAAACAATGACACTTTCTGCTTTTGAGGAATCTACCTCAGTGATTCTGGAAGGCATATACCTGGTGAGGTGGTGGTGAGGAGAGGTGTGGGATAACACAATAAATTGATAAGTTTAGAAGTGCCATAAAATAAAATATCATAATATTATTAACTTGCTGCAGAAGGTGAGCTATAATTACTGCCTGAAATGTGGGCTGCTACAAAGAAGCACGGATAAAATATTTCAGTTCTGTGTCTTTCCGAAGTTTCCATTATTGCCTTCAAAGGAGCTTTTCAATCTATCAGCCTTATCTAAGACAAGTCAGAAGTTGATTTCTGTGTATGTGTGTGTGTGTGTGTATATGTGTGTGTGTGTGCACTTATCAATGATTTCACAGTTGTTATAAACCCAGACACATTATGCCAGACAATGCCAACATCAGCCAAGATCCTAATTATGGTGTGCCACAGAACGCCTTAAATCAACCTTGGCTTCATTGTTCTGACCTTGCCCTTTGCTCCCATCTGGAAAGCACACATTTCCCACTCTTGGAACAAAAGGCACACCTGGTAATCTAATTTTTTTTTTGTCAGTATAACTCTGTCACGTTGCTGAGTTTGCCCCCTAGTATGATGGATGACTGGACCTATATACGAGAACAGGAAGTACAGATAGTAGCTATGAAAAAGGCTTAAAGGAAAAAGACAATTGAGTTGAATACAGAGCACTCAAGCTGCCATGTGGGTAAATCTAACTGCCAGTGACAGTGGAACCTTACCGGAGTACACAATGTAATATACATGAGGTGGTTCCTCTTTGGCTCTTCTCCATGTTGATTTAATTTATGAAATATCAAGTAGAATTTGTTATTGGGAAGTTACACAATGGACTAGGAGGATGGGGATCTAATGGTCAGAAAGAACTTTGAGAGTGTCTCTTAACCTTTTTAATTCTTATTTTTCAGGGTGAGAAAAAAGACAATAACCTAGCAAGGTTATTGCTGGGGACCATTGAGAAGCAGGACTGAAAAGCATCTAAAATTGTACCATATGTAGAGAAGCAGTGTGGATAGACTGCATAGGGAGCCAGTCTCAGATTCCAGAGGACCTGGGCTCAAGGCTTGCTTTTGACACATCCTGGCAGTATCACCCTGGGCAAGTATTTGTCTTTGACTTTGTGTCTCATTGGCCCAAATAACTCTAAGACTGATTTGCAGAGCAGTGCAGAGCTGCTGTGTCCTCATTGGGAGTTCCTTAAATCAATGAAAAAAAAACAGGAACAGTATAAATAAAAATGTCATCTGTAATAAATGACAGTAGCAATTCACATTGTACTGTTGCTTTGCAGTAGAGAAGAAGATGCTTTTGAAAGGAAATCTCAGTTTGGTCATCACAGTATTAATCTCAAAGAAAAGGCAGTATTATTGATCATAGCGTTGAGAAATGGAAGAGACCTCAGATATGACAAGGATATAGATCACTGATCTGGAGCTGGAAGAGATTGATAGGCCATCTGGTCCAACCCATTCATTTAACAGATAAGGTAAATATAGCCCACAGAGGTCAAGTAATTTATTCAAAGTCACATAGGCAGGAGTTAGGATTCAAACCCAGATCTGCAAGCTATCAATCTGGGAGATCTTTTTTCCACAGTATCAGAATTAAAGAGTTTCCTGAAAGACTGAATGTAGCTTCTGCATGTGCATATGCTACACTAGAAAAAAAAAAGCAGTACTGAGTTTGTCACCAGAATATCTAGATTTGAATTTCGACTCCATCACTTACTACCTATGTAACGTTGAACACATTGCTTCATTTCTGTTAGTCTCAGTTATTGACATAAGATGGGCACACAACATTTGCACTGCCTAATTCCACAGAATTGTAAATGTGGACGTCCTTTTGGGGCACCTTAGTGGCTCGCTGGATAGAGCACTGGGGCTAGAGTCAGGAAGACCTGAGTTCAAATCCTACCTCAGATACTTATTAGCTGTGTGACCCTAAGCAGGCCACTTAACCCTGCTTGCCTTAGTTTCCTCATCTGTAAAATGAGTTGGAGAATAAAATGACAAACCATTACAGTATCCTTGCCAAGAAAACTCCAAATAGGGTCATGAAGAGTCAGATTTGAAACAACTCAACAACTACAACTCCAAAGATTGTTGTAAGGAAAACACTTTTGAACCCTTACACAGTTCTATAATATGAGGTATTATTATCATATTCTATACTTTAAAATAGTTTATACACACACACTCACATACATAGCACAGACATATAATATGTATAAGACTTATAAGTAAAAACGTGAAGGTTTTATTTTTGTTTTTGTTTTTTATTCAGACCTAGCTGCTATATGGAACTCCTCATGAGGAAATTCTGCCTAGCCCTGAAGATTGGCATTCATCCTATGAATTATGGTTCTGGAGAGCTGCTAGGAGACACTGATGAATTAAATGACTTGTCCAAAGTCACACAGTCAGTATATGTCACAGGCAGAATCACACATTGAAGGTTAGAAAGGATCTTAAAGGCCATCTGGTCCAGCCCCTTTGTGTTTTATGTATGAAGAACTCAGTTCCTAAGAGGTTAACTGATTATCCAAGGTTATATAAGTAATAAGTGACAGGATCAAGATTTCAGTCCAGGTTTTCTTACCTCTAAGGCTAGCTATCTAACCATTAGGCAACATTGCTTCTTATGTATGTGTTTGTGTATTGTGTGTGTGTGTATTGGTACACACAGTTAGACACATATAATATCAATATTGACCATATCATAGTCAATGGTGAGGTCACAGATACAGCTATAAGCTAGACCTAGTCTGATGTTCCAGGCATGCTGTTTTCTGGGTAGCACACTGAGCAGTTCTGACTACCCTCCCTGCTGAATGCATGAGCCCTTTGCTTCAGACCCTGTCCTGGCCCTGTGACAACATGGCCTGCCAGCTGCTTCCCTACCGACAGCAGCCACTTGCGAAATTCTGCTTCAGTGACATTTCCCAGTGCTGGATGTGTGAGCGATCTTTTGGCCTATGTACCCTTTAAGGGAAGAAAACAACTTCATGTAAGTAGTTGAAATTGAATTAAATTGAGCTCCAAAATGTTCTTTAGTTCATTTCTCTCCTGAGGTGCAATGTATAATTGCAAATTCAATGGTGATAGCTGTGCTTACATCTGGTTTTTGCCTTGCTTTATCTTTCTGTCATCTTGAAATACAGATATGGGGAGTAGCTATAAATAGGTGAAATCTACACTATACAGATGAACAATTCTTTCATTTCCCAAAACTAGGGGTCCCGAATTACAGGTAGGAGGTAATGAAGTATAGTGTGAAAAAACAAAATACAAAATACAAAAACAAAACCTCGGCTTGGGAATCTGGAGCCCTGAGCAGAGAAGCGGCATCAGAATGCTGGGTCTGGAGTCAGGCTTACCTGGGATCAGATCTCACCTCTGACTCTGATTAGCTATAGCATCCGGGGCAATTCTAAGATAGCTTCTTTATCTGAAATGGGGATAAGTACCTACTTCACAGGGTTTGTTGTGAGCCTCATTTGAGATAATATATGTAAAGAGCTTTACAAACATTAAAGTGCTATGTGAATGTCAGCTATTATTAGTTCCAGCTCTTCCCTACTTAGATAACTTGGGATCTATCCATTAATCATTATCATCATTGACAAATATTTATGGAGAACTTACTATGTTTAAGATGCTATATTCACTATTAGAAATATATGGTGCTCTGACACCAAGTTCCAACCCTAAACAGCTTAGAATCTTGCTTGAGAGACAGTATTAAGACAAGAAAAAACTTTTTTTTTTTAAATTGGGATAACTGGATTTCAATATAATTGGTTTCCTTTGCAGGCCTATTTTATTTTATGCATTTAAAAACATTACTCTGAAAAAGGGTCCATAGATTTTATTAGACTGACATACACAAAAAGTTAAAAAGCCCTGTTATAGGGTGGGTTCCACAAAATGGAACCTTAGGTAGTCTGAGGAAGCCTATAAATACTTCAGAATAATGTTTTTAAATGCATAAAAATGCAAAGGATTCCAAAGGTGCACACAAAAAAGGACAGGAATCCATGATATAAACATAGATAATAGAAGGTAGTTTATATGCTAAGAAACAGTATGGTATAGCACATAGAAGGCTAACCTCAGTCCAGGAATCAGGAAAACCTATGTTCATGCCCCATCTCTGACATGTAATTCTATGGGTTGTGTGACCCTGGACAAGTGACTTTAGCAGCTACCGTTAGCAACTGTGTAGAATTATAAATCACAAAGCAGGTTCTGATATGCATTGATAGATGGAATTTTGTTGCTAGGAGTTCCCTATGTAATAAAATCATAACTTTTGTCCACAAAAAGGGGGAGAATAAATTTTTTTAAAAATACTATATATGGTAAATGCCAAATGGGTGGTACAGTTAATGCTAAAAGAATTCAGAAGATGGCAGGATAACCAAAAGCTAGAACAATTAGGAAAGACTTTATGGGGAAAAAACCATGAGTTGGATCTTAATGGAAGAGTTAAGGTTTTGGGGACTGATCTGTGGTTATACTGGGGAAGGAAGTACTGCCTCTCAAAGGAAGAGTAGAAGCATCAATATGGGAAGAAAAAAAAGGGGCCAAGGCATCCTGGACAGCAGGAACAGAAGTGGGAAGGTGGAGGTTTCATCTTGGTTTATGAGCCCCCCCAAAAAAATTCCTTCCTTCTTTTAGAGTCACATTTCATCATAGATTAAGGATGAAATCACTCAGCTGAATCAACAAACTTATTCACCAAACTGGGCATTCTGAATGATGTTTTGGCTACTATCAAAAATCCGACCCATCTTCAAAGAACAAATGCTTGTCATCAGTGAAGAGAGTTAGAGAAATGTGTGATGGACTCAGAGGAAAATTGCAATAAAAAGAACCATAGCACCCCCATTGAAATAATGTGTGGCCTCCCAGGTTGACTTCTTTGGAGGGGATAACATTCATTGAATGTATAAATTCTGTTTGTGAGAGAAAAAAATTCTTATTTTATAGCCATAATTCATCAATCCTTTTGGAAATTCTGATGATTGAGAAGGATGAAGTGCATGGGAGAAAAAAGAGAAAGAGGGGAAATGAGGGAACAAAAAATAACCACTTATTAAGAACTTACTATGTGCAAAGAACATAGAGGCAAATGCTGAGGATATAGTTAGGAAAGTAAGATAGTCTCTGCCCTTAAGGAATTCACATTATAATGGAGAAGACAACACATACAGAGGCTATCAGCTATAGTTCATATGGAAAGATGGGCCTTGGGGTGCAGCATCAACAGATGGCAATGACTGTTTTTAATATCATATCACTTCCTAAGTTTGAGTCATTGACAGGGCCAAGGACCTTGGTCACAAGGACTTTCCTTTCTGGGTCTCCAATAGCTGTGGCTACAGCATCTGCAGGAACATTTGCCAGCGTAGGCTTCATCTCCATAAGGATGGCTTCCCAGGATGACAGTTACAGGTACCAGGCTGGAAGCATTGCTATTCCTAAGGCAAAGGATGTGATAGAGACTGATAAAGAAGAGAATTTAGGGAACCTCAAATAAAATGATCCCTTAAAAAGAGTTCACTTCTTTAATAATTGTCCATCAAATTTGCCTTACAGTCCAATAATACAGCAATTTCCCTAGAACAGAGAAGGTATTTTCTTAGGCTCAGAACCATACGTGGCAAATTATTCATTGAACTTCAGCAGCATATTTCATCAGTGAATCAACCGGAATAAGACACAGCTCCTGCCTAAGAGATTGCACCGCAAGGTTTAAATGCATCTCATTCTCCACACTGCCAAGAACGATTCGAAAGTTCAAAGGGCCTCTAAAATGCCTGTACTGAGAAAGAGAGAGAGAGAGAGAGAGAGAGAGAGAGAGAGAGAGAGAGAGAGAGAGAGAGAGAGAGAGAGAGAGAGCAGCAACTTGTAGAGATGGAAGAGTTTGGAGCAGGCACAGATCAGCTAATGAAATGTAGTTCCTGATAATCGATGGAAGCAAGTTTCACTGCCAGAGATCTGCATTTACATAGAGGGACCACCTTGATTCAGAATTTAAAATGCTACTGGGCTCTTTTCTGCCTGCCTTCCCTTTATGCAGCTGGCTACTCTGACAGCAATCAGAACTTTTTTTTTTTAAGCAGTCTGATGAAAGTTCAATCCACACCTTCTCATTCAATCAGTCAGTTAGTCCACAAACATTTATTAAGCACGTACTACATTCCAGCCACTGTGCTAAGCACTAGGAGAACAAAGAAAGATAAAAGACAGTCCCTGCTCTCAGGGAGCTCACAGTCCAATGGGGAGACAACATGTACATAACCACATACAAACAAGCTCTGTATGGGATAAATTGGAAATAATCAACAAAGGGAGGGCATTAGAAATCAAAAGGGGTTGGAAAAGGCTTCTTCTAGGAGATGGGATTTTAGAATATGGGGCAATGCAGGAAGCCAGGAAAAATTCTTTCCTGAAATTCAATTCAATAAACAGTCCTAGAGTGCCCACTATGTGCTGAGGTCTGTGGTAGGTGTTGTGCAATATGAAACATCCTTATTGAATAGGCAAGGCAACCTTCCTGAAGGTTGGATTTGGAGTTTGAGGGCCCGGGTTTAAAGATGCTTAACTCTCTGGGCCTCAGCTTCCTCATTTATAAAATGAGGGTGGTTGACCAGATAATCTACATGGTCTTTTCCTGGTATAAATTACATGATTAATGTGAAGTATCACGGCATAGTATTGCATACTAGACTTGGCATCAAGAATGTCTGAGTTAAATCCTGTCTCTGATACTTACCAATACTTGACAACTTGACTACTTAGCCCCTCATAGCTCTAAATTCCCCATCCGTAAAATAGATTCTATTAAAAAAAAAACTACTCAATTGGGTAGTTGTGACGATCAGATGAGAGAACGTATGTGAAGTTCTGTATCAATGTTAATTATTATTTTGTTGTTGTTCAGTCATTTATGTCATGTCTGACTTTTCATGATCCCCATTTGAGATTTTCTTGGCAAAATTACTGGGATGTTTTTTCCATATCTTTCTCCAGCTCATTTTACAGATGAGGAAGCTGAGGCAAACGAGGTCAAATGACTTGTTCAGGGTCACACAGCTACTAAATATCTGAGTCTGGATTTGAACTAAGGACTTCCTGACTCCAGTTCCAGCACTCTATCCACTGAGCCACCCAGCTGCCCCTATTATTATTATATTACAAAAACAAGTGAAATCTATAACTAACAGATCAGTTCAGCAAACAAACATATACCTTGTGTCCCAGAATTCTTGGTGTAGATTTAATAAGCTATCAAAGTTTAAAGCTGCACTAAGACTTTTGAGACACCCTATATTTCACACCTGTTATGTGAAAAGCATGAAAAGGAATGGGGGAGGGGGAGTAGATAGAAAGTTTGCCTCATACTCAGGAAAACTTAAGTTCAAATTTTCCTTCTGATATATTCTGGCTTAGAGACCACAGGCAAGTCACAACCTTGCAGTGCATATAGGCTACTCTTTAAAACAGGCTTCTTTTCTATGAACTTTTTCAAAAATATTTAAAACTATATTTCAATATAATTGATTTCCTTTTTAATCCTATATATTCTACTTCAAGCATTTCAAAACAGTATTATGAGAAGGTGTCTGTAGGCTCACCAGACTGCCAAAGGGATTTATGACCCCCCAAAAGGTTAATAACACTTGCTCTAAGATTATAAATTTCAGAACAGTTGCTGATTATACACTGGTCAGATCAGTTTCTTCATCTTTAATTCCCTAAAACAGTGAAATCACATATTTTCCGGTACTTAACTGCTCCTCCTCCCCCCAAAAAAAGTAGAGATAAATGTACAATGGGTGGTACTAGGTACAGGAACTACATAGACTAAAAATTATATAGACCCTGCCCCGTGGAGCTTAAATCTAAAATTTCAGAACAGCGTTAAACACAAACAAGTATGATACAAAGTGAAGTGTAATAAAAGAGACACAATCAGCAGTTTTTTTCATAGTTTTATAAGAAAATATGAGAAGAGGAATCACTTTCATCAAAGAGAAAAAGGGACAGTTTCAGAAAGAGAGGGCTCTGAACTGGTCATTTAAGAAATGAAGGATTTTAACAAGTGAGGTTGGGATGAGCCCATTGGATGGAGTGTGTGAGAATACACAGATGAAAAGCAAAGATCAAGAAAGAGTTTCACTAAAACTTAGAGTACATAAAGGGGACTAGGAAACAGAACTAGAAACAGTGGAGGGCTCTAAACAGGGGTGTGATGGGGCCAGCAAGAAGTGGTGCCTGGGAATTCTTAAATTTTTCATGTGAGCCTTTACCAAAATCAGCAAATGCTACAAATCAGGACTTGATTTATTATTTTGTCAATTGTCTAAACTTAAGAAAGTGATAGAGAACTATTAATAAGTCAGGTTAAACTTTAAAGTGGGTCATGCATGCATTCTTCCTCAGAGAGCTGATTATTAAACATTTACTGGCACACCTTTGACTGAAACTCAAGATTTTCAGAATAAGTAACTATCTAAAATCCAGTTTTCCCTTATACATTGCTTATTTCCAGTTTTGGTGTCCATTTCTATTATGAACAGATTTTAGAGTTTCAAGCATAATTAAAATAAAATCATTTTGAAAAGTAACTAAATTTGTTTCCTAAATTTTCTAAAATTTCTTTTACTAAGATTCCTTTTTTTCACCAATCTCCCCTCCATTTCAATGTTCTTTGGATCTACAAGACTCCAAAATAACTGGCAAAATACTCGGCCAGAAAACTTGTTTTGCCTTTTTGGCTTTTATTATGGCAAATAATAGATTCGACTTTTTTTTTTTTTTAATGAATGGACTGATCATCTGGTAAATTGCCTGACGACCTGTTGTTTTGGAATTGTATAGATACAACCTAAAAACACTGATGCCCAGCAGCTAGGCTGTTGATGACATTATATATAAGAACAAACCTCTTGCTTCCTACACACTTCATTTTTTTTGCCTTCTGTTTTTACATATACATTTGCTGATTTTTCTCCTTTCACCCAGTTATCCACTTAAAACTAACTCTCTTCCAACCTACTCTACCATCCACCATTGCCTACTTGCTCAACACATGTATAGCTTCCCAGTATATGCCTCTCTAACCCAAGTGAAGTTAAAGTGACTTCTTAAAGAAAATAACAGTGTGTAGATGGACTTTACTTCTACTTAACCTCCACGTTGACTTTTCTAGTGGAGGGCAAAAATCTTCTCTTTAAAATCTATGTGCATAATTGCATGTATTCTTCTATATTTTATATATGGAAAGGAATGTGATTTCTGCCTCCTCAAACTTTGTTGTTGTTATCACAGGGTTTAGCCACAGATGATGAGGTTTGAACATGAGAATAAGGTGTTTAAAATTGCTGTATTATGAGCAGGTCCCCTGAGTGAATCATAAAGGGGAACATAGTTGGCTAAGCAGAAAATCAGCCAAGTCTCTGAAGACCATTAAAAGGCTTAGCTGTGAACTCTTCATGGAATTGAGGCCAGTTATAAGTAAAGGAAGAATTTGACCCCTGAGAGGGACTTTTTCTTGGTGGGAGGAGAGATTTATTTCTCCTCCCCCTCTTTGGATATAGCATTTTGAATCAGAATTACTCAACCAGTAAGAGGCACCTTATCCCCTAGTTTAGGAGTTCATTAAATGAAGACAGTTAAAGTCATGATTAAGATCAATCCATAAGAGAGCAAGACACATACTCCAAATAACCACAGACACAGAGAAGAAGTCACTTGAGGGAGGGACAGAAATGAGACCACTGGCATAAGAAAGAAAACAGCTTCCTGGTGACTTAAGAGAGAGCTAGCCTTGGCAGTAGAGAGTCAAGTTAAAGGTAGAAAACCCAAGAA